AAATAAGCTGGACCACATTCTTGACATCCACCTACAGGACCTGTCATACTTCAGGAGACAGAGACATGCAAAAGTGGTGGCTGAGTGGGATCACAGAAAGAAAAACAAAAAGAAGAAATGCATGTCATTGTCATCTCTAAGTCAAGGATTGTGCATACCAAGACTTCTTCGGAAATTTTTAGCTCTAGCAGCCACAGAGGTACAGGAGGATCTTGGAATATGAAGGTGGGGATTAGATTTTCATTTGAACCACGCAGAGCTGATTATGCCAGTCCTGTTTTGCTAAGTAGTTTTGCTCTCATCTGGTGGAAAGAGGTTTCACTCTTTGGGCTTTCCATATTTGTGTGCTTTGCCTTCTCCCTCGTTCCCATCAGCTGCTTCAGGTTTCTGGCAGGAGAGGTCAGACTTGCCTGCAGCTCAGTTGGTCTGGGCTTCAGGACAGGTGCTGCAAGCAGGGTGGATGTCCCTGCAGCAGGAGGTACTGGCTAGTTGTGCCCTGTCAGTGCCAAGCAGAGGGTGAGAGCTGCACACAGACAGCACATCCCAGAAGTCAAACTTTGAACCATTCTTCAGGTTTGATACTTAAAATAGTTGCTGCTATGAATACCAGGCATCACGGTCCTACCATGTGCTTGGTGGCCCCATCTTTAATAACAGGTCAGTTAAGAGTGTCTAATTAGGTGGCCATTCATGCAGCTGTAGCTACAGTCCATTTGGCTTTCTAGTTAATGTGTGAAGCAGCTTCATTAGTGTTATTTGACAGCAGACTGTTCTGTGTTAGCTAGTACTGATGCCAGATGTGGACTTAGGGCTGTGTCCAGCCTCACTTCTGTTGATAAGGAAGACAGTGTGAGCCTAGAAAACTGTTCATCTTGGCTGGACTTCTGTCCACACCACCAGCAATCTCTGAATGTCTTCTGTAAAGCCAGTGCTCAAGCAGTTTTACTAATTCATGTAAGATTAGTACTTTATTTCACCACAGAAGCTCAGTGTGCTCCAGTCCTACTGCACATCCTGTTACACACTAGGAGAATTGCAGAAGTGTGTGATCATCAACTTTGTCTCCAGCTTTTTCAAACACAGCCTTCCCCCTCCTGGGGGGAAAAAAAAAAAAAAAAAAAAAAAAAGTCACTCAGAACTTCTTCATCCCTTGGTTGCCTAAATCACACAGAATAACACAGAATCATCTAGGTTGGAAAGGACCTTGGAGATCATCTAATCCAAAGGTTCACCTAGCACAGTTCCTACCTACAGCAAATCCTTAAGCTCTAAATTGACCTGACTCTTGCACACCTTCAGAGATGGAGACTCCACCACCTCCCTGGGCAGCCCATTCCAACACCTAACAACCCCTTCTGGAAAGAAATACTTCCTGACATCCAGTCTAAACTTTCCCTGGTGCAACTTGAGACCATTCCGTCTTGTACTGTCGCTTACTACTAGGCTAAAGAGGCTCATCCCCAGCTCTTTGCAGCTTCCTTTCAGGTAGCTGTAGAGGGCGATGAGGTCTCCCCTCAGCCTCCTCTTCTCCAGACTAAACACCCCCAGTTCCCTCAGCCGCTCCCCGTACGACCTGTGCTCCAGACCCTGCACCAGCTCTGTTGCCCTTCTCTGGACACGCTCGAGCCATTCAATGTCCTTTTTGTAGTGAGGGGCCCAAAACTGAACACAGGAATCGAGGGGCGGCCTCCCCAGTGCCGAGTCCAGGGGTAAGATCCCTTCCCTGTCCCTGCTGGCCACGTTATTGCTGACACAAGCCAGGATGCCATTGGCCTTCTTGGCCACCTGGACACACTTCTGGCTCCTGTTCAGCCGGCTGTCAATCAACACCCCCAGTTCCCTCTCTGACTGGCAGCTCTCCAGCCACTTCTCCCCAAGCCTGTAGCGCTGCTGGGGGTTGTTGTGGCCCAAGGGCAGCCCCCGGCATTTGGCCTTATGGAAACTCCTCCAGTTGGGCTCAGCCCATGGCTCCAGCCTGTCCAGGTCTCTCTGCAGAGCCTCCCTACCCTCGAGCAGATCAACACTCCCACCCAACTTGGGGTCATCTGCAAACTGAGTGAGGGTGCACTCGATCCCCTCGTCTAGATCATCAATAAAGATGTTAAACAGGAGTGGCCCCAAAACCAAACCCTGGGGGACACCACTCATGACCGGCCACCAACTGGATTTAACTCTGTTCACCACAACTCTTTGGGCCTGGTCGTCCAGCCAGTTTTTTACCCAGTGAAGTGTGTGATTGTCCAAGCCTCAAGCAGCCATTTTTGCCAGGAGAATGCTGTGGGAAACGGTATCAAAAACCTTGCTAAAGTAAATGAATTAATCTTTGTTAAAGCCACCATGAATTGCAGCTCCTAACCTCGGGCATCCACATCTAAATCAGCATTTTGTAGTGAGAAGGCAGGTGATGAATCAGTATACCAATACTACCTCTACTATTAATGAGTCTGCAAATGCCCACTCTGTATTCCTTTTCAGAAACCCGTCCTGCACAAGACTACAGTATGGGAAAATCTGGAATGTGTGAGGGTAGGGCAAAAACCTAAATAACTTACCATCTATTTAGAATAAAATAGAAATTAAATAAAATAAAGTTGACCTGTCTCTGGTCATACAGAGCAGTTTGGATACAGAGTTTAACCTTGTAGAGAAAGAGGAAAGTAACCATTTGTGGTAGAGGGTGGGAAGAAGGAACAGGGTGAAAAGCTCAGGTGAAGCAAGAGAGCAAAGCTAGAAAGGATCCATAGTGGCCTTTGTATCCATATGGGATTTAAAGCAAGCCAGGGCTGCAGGAGCAGGAGTTCTTTGGACTCCAGAGGAGACCTGCAGAGAGCCACCATTAGCTTGTTGTTCTCAGCATAAACTGTCTCCCATTACATTCCTGGTGGCACACAGGACAAAGAATGGGAGTTCTGCAGATGCACTTATTCCTATAATCTGTAAATGTGGTTTTGTTTCACTTGTTACTTCTGTAAACTGCCCTGGATATATGTGGGGTTTTTTTTCTTTAAAGAAAATTAGTTACATCTTGTATCTCTTGTGTTCAGATCCCATCACACATAGTTTTAAGGTATCATGATATGCCATTGGCGATTCCTTCATCTCTTGATGAAAATCCCATCCGAGGTGTATCTTAAAATGTATGTAACATACTGCTACCAAAGGAAACACTGTATAATAGCACAAGCTTTAGCATTACTACTCCCGAAACTAAAGGGAGAAAAATCATATAGAAAAGATATTTCTTGACTGAGATATGAGACAGAAATTCCCATCTCCAGATGGAGGCAGCACTAGCTTGCATTGCAGCTCTGTGGACCGTTGCCTGCCTGGCTGTGTACGAGCTGCAAGACTGTTGGCTCAGTGGACTCTTTCACAAAGGCCTTTGCTGCTTTAAAAAATAGTGTGTCAAACACAATCAGTAAACACAGCAACCAGCCTTTCTGAGTGGACAGTCATGTCATCAGGCATTTCTACCTTGCTTTAAAAGCCTCCTGGATGTGCACTCCACCTCTGCTTTGCACCTATTAAGTCTGTCAGTGAAGCACCATCCCTCTGGGCTTATGTCATCTATTACAACTTTGTGACTGAGGGGAGCTGCAGTCCCTCTGTCTCCCTCAGGCTCAGAGACAACCCCCTGAGGGGCTGGAAAAGCCTCCCTCCCCCTTGTCTCTCTGCTCTGAGAAGTCTGGAGTTTAATGCGTCCCGGTGCCACGGATTATGCCTGGCCTACTTTCATACATGCGTTCCCAAAGTGGTTGTGACAGCATCTGCAGGCTTGTATTGCCGAGGTGGTGAAGCCATTCTTTGCCACTGTATTTGGGAGCTCAGTGTGTGGCAAGCGCTGTGGCAGCTCTCGTGCATCTGAGGGAGCATGGCTACTCATCTCCAGCAGTGATCTCTGCTGCGTTCACCATTCCGGTGCAGGGTGGATCTCCAGTTGGTATCAGGACATGCCTCCACCACGCCAGGCTCCCCACGGCCTTCAGCCTGCTCCCTCTCTGAGCTCAGGGCTGGTTCCCTGGGTGAGTGCAGTGCCAACCGTACACAAGGGATCCTGAGTGTGCCCTGCTTTTCCTCAAAGCTTTGTGGTTACTCTGCGTAATCTAAAAGCACTTTCCCCTGGCACATGAATTGGGTGTGCAGGGTAGAGATGATGTAGATCATGCTGCTCCCATCATGTTTCAGAGGGAATTCCAGTAGACAGGCTCCATTTTGTCTTCCCATCTGCAGTTCTGGGAATGGGAGGCAGGTGAAGCCCAGTTTCTCAAAAGCTACATGGGGTCAGATTAAAAACACTGCTTTTAGGCACCCAGGTGGAATACTACCATGCCTAAAATGTAGACGCTGCACCCCTAAGACTGTGATCATTGTTTTCTAGCCTAGGCACCTGCTCTCCCTGTAGTACACTTAGGCAGTACACTTCTGCAGGCTGAAGAGCTGTCTTGAGGTAGATGGTTGAAAATGTAGTTTCTGGGGATGGGGCAGGATGCCTGAGCTCCTCTCACTGCTCTGGGGTGTAAGTGCCTGTCATAGGGCCATATACTAGATGCCTCCACACACACAAAATGTATAGCGCTTCTCCCACGTTCCGAGGGGGGAGCTAGAAAGCTGTTTTGCACCTCCCACTGCTGCCTGCTTCCAGGATCTGTGACAGAAAACGTGAGATAGCAAAAGAGCAGCACAAGTGAAACGCTTGCCTCGGATGCTGAGGGCAGGTGCTGTGCAGGGCAAAGCCAGAGAAGGATGGTGGGCACTGATGCAGTGCTCTGTACAGCTCCCGGTGCTGCTCAGCCGTGTAGCGGCGGTTGTGGCCTTCACGCACATTTAAGCCTGTGTACCTTCTTAATTAATTTATACAGGTGGTGGTTGTTCAGACAAGTTCCCAATCATGTCTAAAAGCGTTCATCAGGGAGTAAAAAAAATATTCCCAGTCAGGATGACTCCTGACCCCTGCAAATGACTCCTGACCCCTGCAAATGACTCCTGACCCCTGCAAATGACTCCGTTTTTTTGTACTCTAAATGTAAAGCAAGTTTGCCTGTTGTGCCAAACTTCATAGCACCAAGAAATACTATAGTTCCTGAGTTTCTTTTCTTCCAAGCTGGAAAACTCCTGGGATAGTTTTTTATATTTCATAGCTGACTATAAATAGCTGTCACATAGCTGTCATTTATATTCCCTTCAGGAGACTCTTTAAGAAAGGCAATTAAAGCATGAAACTGCAGCAGTACCTGATGTCTGTGACTCAAAGCTTTTGTGTGAACTTAAAATGCCTTTGACTTCCATCTGCCATGGACTAGGGTCAGCCTTGCTGGTCAGGAGACGTTACATCTGTGCCTGTGGACCCGCAGAGGAGAACTGCAGGGATGTGGGATGCCAGGCAGATTACAGTGAGTGCTGTTCAATCCTACGTCTTTGTTTTTAAAAGCAAAGGTGCGGTGTAGTTTAGGTTAAGGTATTTGGTTTGGTTCTTCACCATCCTAGCAAACATTTACACCAATAGAGCTGTGAATAATGAAGTAGTTTTCCTGTCCTCAAATCAGCCATCTAAGAGACCGAGGGGACACCTATACTCTCTGGAGCAGCTTGGATTTCTGGGGGAAGGGAGAAGAGGGGGGCATGGGTGGTTTTGCTTTATGTGTGCACCGCTCTCCCTGATCCCTACCTGCTAAGTTCTCCCTGGGCTAGAATGACTTGTCCTAGGTGAAAGATTATTTTTGGCTTCTTTTCTAATGGTTATAAATTACTTTATTCGGCAGAATGAAGTGACAGAGGAATAATACTTGCGCTCCTTTCCCAAAATGCTGTAGTGAGCCCAACTTGAAAAACATACAGACACAGGCAGAGCTCATCTGTTGTTTTGACAGTCTTCAGGGTCATGTAAGGTTCTACACTGGAGTGCGAGTATTGTGCGGTTGGAGGGGTTTTTGGCTTCTGCTGGAGGTGAGACTGAAACCTGATGAAGCGAGTCATCAACAACTCCACAGACGTTGGCACCACAGCAGGAAACAAAAGCAGCCTTTTCCCCTCAGCAGTGTGTTCCCTGGCTCCTCGGCAAAACTGGTATGTGCTGGCCTGCATTGCCCCCACCCCCCTAAATCTTTTGTCATCCTTTCCTCCTGACAGGCGAGCGACCATTCCCCTGCACATGGCCCGACTGCCTTAAAAAGTTCTCCCGCTCTGATGAGCTCACCCGGCACTACCGAACCCACACCGGCGAGAAACAGTTTCGATGCCCCCTCTGTGAGAAGCGGTTCATGCGGAGTGACCACCTGACAAAGCACGCCCGCCGCCACACCGAGTTTCACCCCAGCATGATCAAGCGATCCAAAAAGTCCAGCTCCGGCAGCTCCTTGTGAAGGCAGGGCTGGCCCGGGGAGGGGGGCAGGGGGAGGTGAGGATGCAGGCAGTGGCGCTGGAGCATGAGCATCCACTGCGGTGCCGGTCACCCTCACTGTCCAAAAGCACATGTAGCCGATGTTCCAAAAAAAAAAAAAATACTCTGTGCCCCCTCTCCCCGTCCTCCACCTCCCCACCTTGCGCTGGGAACAGTGGTCTGGAGCAAGTGGACTGCGGGGTGAGAGGAGGGAAGGGATGGCCAGCAGAGGAGGCAATCACCTCCTCTAATGTAAAGCATTGATGCTGGTGTACATATGTCTGACTGGAAAGTCTGGCCTGTGCCACCACAGTAGCGTGACCCCAAAGTCTTTGTGATTGTTGTTTCATGAACATGTTTTGTTGAACCGTGTAATGCTGCTTGTATTTAGAGTTTGTTGAGTAAAACCGCTTTCTGAGTCACATAAATAACTCTCAGATAAAAACTCCATAGCACATTGTAGAAGTGGGTTTACTTCTGTCTCAGAATGATTCTGCATTTAAAGAGACTGTTAAGAGAAACTTTACATATGTTACTAATAGCATCTGATTGATATACTGCGATAAGATGAATTTATATTCAAGAAGACCCATTAAAGTAAATGGGTCTTTTTAATTTTTCTTTGTATTAACTATACTTTTGAATATAAGCTGCACTTTTCCAGTAAAGACATGTATAATTCAAGAGGATACTTAAAGCAAGAAAACCCTGCAAGTTTTCTGACCATAGGTGTATTTAGCTCTGTTATTCTCTTACCTGGGAAAATACAAGTCAGCCTAGATAGTGTGGTGGGGATATGGGAGCAGAAGCATATGTCTCTCAGTCAATCCTATTCTTTTACTTTATCAATAAATACAGTACTGTACTATAGAATCTATGCCACTAACAGTGCTTTATTCTCCTGTGTTTTGTTTGAATGGATGCATAACAAGAGCTACCATCTTTATAAACAGCTGCTTTTTTAAAGGCTTTTTCTCTTCCTACACTTGCCTTAAAGATTTATTCTCTTCATACCCTTGCCTAACTTCTGCAGAGTCCTGTGGGAGTTTTATGTGCTATGGAGAGAGTAGACCTTTCCTTAAGAGCACTCTGCTAATGGAAACAGCTGAAATTATTGTAAGGAGCACTTCGGACAGGCTCCTGTATCTCTTGATCACTGTTTCTGTAGAGTGTGGGGGAATACCATGAGCTAATCAGAAATTCAGCATGGAAGGTGTTTTGTAATACTCCTTACAACATAAGCTTCTCTTGTTAATCTGTTGTACCTGTGTCATGCATGGCACGTCAAACACTGACAAAGGCAATATTACATTTATTTTAAAGATATTTCTTGCTCTTTGAGAGGAGCAAAAATATCACTGAAGGAAAACTTTTAAGTCATGGTCTTAAAAGCATGAACTGTAAGAGGTTATCAGTGATTTTTTCTTTTCCCTCCCCATCAACATAAAGTGGGGAGAATTCTGTTTACATGTTATTTTTTTCGGAAACATTCTTCTCCTGTTTTGTTTTTACCCCTTCTTCTTCTGGAGGTGCAGCCCTACTATAGAGACTTAGGGCCAAATTCATCTTGTGAGTAGTCACACTCAAACCCAAAGTGTTTCCACTGCAGATGAATTTAGGTCATCTTGTAAAATTCTGTACATATAAAATCTTGTCAGTACACATGCAATTACAGTACCTTATTGTTTTACCTGATAAAAAGCTTTGCTTCCTAGAAATGAACATAAAAAAAATGAACTCAGAGAGTAGAGTGTTTTCTTCTACAGTTGTATAAGGCTTTCAGCATTAGAAATCAGTTTGCATATAGTGTTTTTACCTGTGTAGTTCATGATAAATTCCGTCTATGTGAAGAGAACTGCTTTTAAGGCAATGGGGATATTGAGCAGTCTGTGGAATAAAAGGGATGTGTTTTCTTCAGTGAAAACATCAGGAAACCAAGCACACTTTCTACCTCTGTTTCAGCTTTTTGAAACATTTATTTTAGAAACCAAACTTTAATTTCTGGTGTCCAAATTCAGTCGTAGGGACATACGTTCTTCCTAATAAAAATGGGTAGCCTTGGTATTTCTATGGATATAGAAATACAGAAAGTGTTCTGCTTACCAGTACTGTTAATGCTGCCTTGTTGAGTGGGGTTCAGGGCCACGTGTAGCCCAGTGAGATTCAAAGGCACATGCACATTCATTTTCATTCTTTGTGAAGATCACGCAAAATTTCAAGTCCATCCTACAGTCTGGATTTTTGCCATTTTGTAGGACAAATGCAGCACTTGGAATTAAGGCCTGATCCTGTGAAATACAAGACATCCTCACATCCTATCAACAACCATCCTTTCAGCCACAGCTGATAAGCAGCTCCTAAATCAGTACAGAGATGTGTTGGTCACTTAGCTACCAGGATTAACCGATACACGGAAGTCAATGGCCAGATTTATGGTTTCCACCTTGTGTATTTGGGGTAGAATGCACATTTAAGGAAACATTGTCGTTCCTGCAGTCTGTAAAAACCAGCAGGCAGGGTGTACTTTCATCTGTGGGACAATGGGATGTACAGGCACATGTTGTCATTGTGACAAGATCCTGTTTCTGAAAAAAACCTTCCTAAATGGTAATCCATTTGCCCTAACATATACTGTATTTCAGCAACAAAGGGGATTAATGCTATTCACTAGCCACTAACAGAATACTTTGGGAATAATCAGGTTTGGAGATTTTGTTTCATTGTTTTTTTCATTTGGGGGTTTTGGGGTTTTTCTTTTAGTAAAAGAAAATGATTGCTCTAACACATAAAACAAACTGCAGGTTAGTTCTTTGCATCTTGAAGTTAAGTTTTGAAGAATGTTGCAAGTGTTGGAAAAGGAAAACCAGGTTCTCTAATACCGTATGTACTTGTACTATTTTGGAAATACTTAATAGTGCTGAAGTTAGGACAGCTCCTCTCCTTGGTTAAGAAAGTCCATTACTATAGAGAATTCATGGCTTTAAAGGTATGCTATACAACATACTTCTTTTTTGAACAGTTTTTCATGACCTGTATTACAGATCTGTTTTGAGTTTGCAGATTGACTTAGCCCAGCATACACCAGACTGGACACATATTTCAAAATGCTGTTTTACAGACTAGTGATCTGTAACACTGTAAAATACCAACTACCAACAGTTTAATCAGTTTTATTTTTGTACAGTATTCGTATCCTTTATAAGTTATTTTGCTGTCCTGTTTTGTAAATCACATGAAATTCTAAAAAAAATAAAAGGAAAAAAAAAAGTAGGCATAGATGTTTTTGTATATATATGTATATATATATTCTCCAAATAAAGAAAAAAGGAATGAAAAAAACCTCCATGTTGTTTTGAATCAATGGAGTGATTGCAGTGGTTGTGTAAACCAGTCCAAATGATAATGAAAAAAGTACTGGTGTACATGATGAAATCCATGAGTTGAGTAGTGTATGAACCAGCTTCAAAGATCTTGGTGTTGCTAGTCATTATTTAGCTTGGGTCTTGTTTCTCTGCTTTTCACAGGTGTTTTCACAGCTAGTCCTTCTGCCAACACTGCAGGGAGACAGACGTAACCTGCAGTGGGAGAAAAGTGTCCCCTCACCAGCATGTCCCAGCTCTCGGGAAGTCTCTCTCCCATTGCTTACTGACTTTTGAGCTCAGACTGGTGCCATCCCTCACACCACAGCTGCTCCACAAACTGATGATGATTCAGTCTGCACAGCCACACTGCTGCCTTGAGATTTCCATTGGTTTGGAGGAGCTGCTCATGTAAGGAGAAAAAAAAACCAAAAACATCCACTCAGCCTCTGAAGGAGGGAAAGGCAAGGAGTCCTGTGCCAAAAAGTTCACTGACATTTACAGTCACTGACATTATGGTTGCTAAAAGCAACTACTTACATGAACTAACTTAACCTGGTACATGGGAACAGTGCTAGGGTGTGACTGCAAAATGAGATCCTCGGTCCAAGGGAACATGTAACTCTCCAGCAATGCAGGCAGAGATGGAGGGGTAGAAGTGTGCCATCTGCATCTGGAACAAAACTTGTAAGCAGCCTCCAGATTTGACTTGCTGAGCTGGAGTTTTCTGTTCTCGGATTGGATGGCCAAAGGACAGATACAACAAATTCAGCACAGGGTTTTCTGTTATTTAGCCTCTCATTGAATTTAGGAATAAGGGACACAGGCCTGTGGCATTGGCATCATTCCCCTGCAATCCCATCATAAAAGACTTTCCATAAATGTATCATTCTTCACCTTAAACCCTTTAATATTTGTCTTTAGTGCTCTAATTGGAACAGCTACCAAAATCTTCCAGTATAGAGAAGACCTAAGCCTTAGAAGGATGTTTCCAGCCAGTGAGATCTAATACACTCTACAGAATGGTCTTTGCCAGGAGTGATGTAAATTTTGTCTGGAATAGGTACAACATGCGAAGAATAGGTGCACCCCAGTGGATGCTGGCAGAGTTCAGCAGTGACATGGGGAGACGTGACCCTCAACACAGACCAACTGATAGCGAGAACACAGTTTCTACAAGGTGAATTTTAATTTCTCTGGTCTTTCAAGGTCAGAAGAATAGAAACGTGCCATAAAATGCCATAAAAGTCCAGTTAAATGCCTACAGAGTGGTTCAGAAAGCCACATGCAAGGGTGGCTTTCTGAACCTGCCTGCTAGGGTGACTAGAATGACTTTCATCTTCATGAGAGCTTAAAACAATGTTGTTCAGCACTCTTTCAGGGCTAAGGAGTAACTGAGGTTTCCTTCCTGCATCAGAGCCCCATAACAGCAGCCACTTTCTCAACGTCTTTGGCTTTGGAAACAAAATCTTTTCCAGGTTAAGCTCCTTGCACCTCCCAGCCATATCTGGCAAATTACATCAACAATAACTTATTACAAAGTCAGAATTGTCAGAACAATGTACTTAACTCAAGTTCTTTTTAAGGGACTGCCTTAAAGCAGGGGAAGCTTTCCCAGTGGCAAGAATTTTGCAGCAACCATGCTTTCAGTGCCATGTTCTACTAAACTGAGAAACACCATGCTCCCTAAAATACCTCCTCAAACACTTCCACAGGTATTATGGAAATCTTCCCATTTCAAAAAATGAAGCTCTTGACTGGCATCAGTTCTAATCCCTAATAGATATTTGTTTCTGTATTATTAACATTGTATTTTTCCAGTTTGTGTGTCTTTATATGGAGCTCATGTATACCTTTTGGGGTGAGTGGAGTCAGTGTTATTTTCAGTGTTATTTTTGAAGTTACTGCAACTGTTACTGTTTTTTACTGGCTTGTGGTGCCCACCTGAAAACTGATAAACACTGTATTGCTTTTCATATCAAAAGCCATCAGACTCTGTTTCAGTATCGTCTGGTGCCTGTTAGACCATGTAATGCCAATCAAACCAACACCTGGATGTCCACACATCAGGTACAAAGGAAATGGAGTGTGTAAACTACAGGGCTAGGAGAATCACTGAGTAAGTAGGTAAGGACAGCTTACTATCCCAAGATCCAAGAAAGCCCTAGGGGAATTCAGAATGCATGGAGAAATTCCACAATGTCAAAGCCCTCCTGAAATTGTGCTAAAAAGGTGCACTGAAAAGTCTTGGGCTTTCCAAATACCTTTTTCTTCCTCTTCTGGCTAATAGGCAGCAGCCAGAAAGAGAGCAACAGATGTTTCAGGAGATGCAGGTTTAACTTACATCAGAGCTCCCTGGAGAGACCATATATAGAGTTTTGGGCTCTTCTGCTGTTAACCACTGCTTTAGCGGTCTTGAATAGTGTTTCCAATCCAAACAGACTTTTGAGAGCCTATGAAAAAGCATACTTAACTGCCCTGTCAAAAAACCCACACCCAGATGGCAACTGAGCACCACACAGCTGCTTGCTCACCTTCCCCCTCAGGAGTGGGAAAGAGAAAATTGAACAAAAGGCTCAGGAATTGAGATAAGGACAGAAAAGCATGACTTACCCATTATGGTCACAGGCAAAAGACAGACTCATTAGGGGAAGAAAACATCAATTTATTTCAAACACTAACAACAACAACACTTAACAGACAGAGTAGGACAGTTAAGAAGCATTACCACATCGTAAAAACACCTTCTGCCCACGCCTCCTTTTTTCCTGGGCTCAGCTTTTCTCCTGATTTCTCCACCTCCTGCCCACCAGCAGTGCAGGGGGACAGAGGATGGGGGTTGCAGTCAGTTCCAACACTCCTTCCTCCTTAGGAAGAGGACTTGTTGCAGCCTTCCCCTGCTCCAGCATGGGGTCCCTCTCTTGGGCTGTTACATGAGTCCTCACAGGCTGCAAACTCTTCCTGAGTTGCTCCAGTGTGGGTCCCTCTCACATGTCACAGTCCTCCCAGAGCCAAACTACAACAGCATGGACTTCCCTGAGTCCCGGACTTCTTCAGGCACAGCCACCTGCTCTGACATGGGGTCCTCCAGGTAGACATCTGCTCCACCTGGACCTCCACAGGTGGTAGGGGGGCAGCCTGTTGTCTCACCATGGACTGCCTGGGAGTCTGTTCCAGGTGCAGCTCCTCCCCTCATTTCTTCCACTGACCTTGGTGTTTGCATAGGTGTCTCCTTCACAACTTCACAACTCCTCCTCCCAGGTTCCCCTCTTAAATATGTTATCACAGAGGTGCAGCAACTGTCACTAATTGGCCCAGCCTTGGTGAAAAGATAGGTCTGACTTGGAGCTGTTGGAGCTCTGAGAAGCTCTATTCCCCCTGCTATCAAAACCCCACCATGCACAAACCCAGCATACCAGAAAAAAACCACAATTATTTTATTAGTCTATGCAACGCTGGTGGTAAATCACTGTCTATGTTTTACTGGATTATAGAAAGATAATACAGGCTCTACCTAGAAGCTAAGCTACATTCAGTTCTTATGTCCAATGAACCATTTTTCTCAGAGGTACCCTTTTTTTAACTGAAACATTTCAAAGGGGACAGCCTTACTATAAACTCCTTCAAACTGAAATAAAGGAGATTCTCCCAATAAATTTTCATTAGCAGTACATTTTATACAGCAAAGTGTATTTTAAACACTACAAAAGTTCTGACCAAAAAAATCCTTAATGAACAACACCATAACTGGGCTGAGAAGCAGATATGAAGTGGATCCAGATTCCTCAGCCACTCAGGCCCATAGAAAACTGTAACATCAGTAACTTTTCACATGAGCAGACCTTTTAGGCATCACTGCAGCAGCACAGAGCGGGGCCAGTACTGCTGGTGGTGTCTGAGAGCAAGTGCCTTTGTACTACTTGCACTGATCATCTGCTTTGGATTTACTGTTTGTAATTCTTCAGGAAAACCAACAACAACAGAACAAACCAACAAATACCTCAGAAGAAAAAACAAAACAAAACAAAACAAAAAAAACCCACAACACAACTAAACCAACCAAAACTTTGTGGTCCGTGAAAAACCTATTGCATGTCCCAAACTGAGTTAAACCAGTGTTAGCGGATTGCAGTCAAGATCAAGTAGCATAATGTTCACAGTCTACAACTCTGATTACAAGCTGGGGACAGGGGAATTGGAGACTTTTCCCCTTTGAATTACATGATCCTGATTTCTTTAAAGCATGTATTCACTTTGAGCCATCCATGCTGCATGCTACCTGTGCCTGCATGTTGCATGTTATCTGTGCTGTGCTTTTCCAAGGCTTCCTGATACCTTTCGCCACCATCTTCTGTTATCATCTGTTCCCTCCTTCATGCAAAACCAGCTTTGTCCACCACTGTGCATGGTTCCTTATCCCCAACAAAGTTAATTTTGTCATTCCTTTCCAGCTTATTTCCCAGAGGCTGGCAGTCTGCAAGCAGATGCCTTGCTCTTCT